TTCTTTGTTAACCGAGTCAATGGAACAACTATCTTGAAAAAATCCTGGATAAACCTCCGATGATAACCTGCTAGACCAAGGAAACTCTAAATCTCAGATGGAGACCTCGGAACATCCTACCGCATCACAGCCTCGACCTTGGCTGGATCGACTAGAATACCATTCTGGTTGACAAGGTTCCCTAGAAACTGCACCTCGCACAACTAGAACTCACACTTAGAGAACTTTCCGAAAAGTTTCTCCTACTTAAAATCTCCAACACTTCCTTTAAGTGCTCCACATGCTGCTCCTAGGTATTGGAACAGACCAAGATATCATCAAAAATTACAATCACAAACCCATCCATCATCGGCCTACAAATGCGATTCATGAGATCCATGGACACAGCTGGAGAATTGGTGAACCTAAAAAGCCATTACCACAAACTCGTAATGACCATAATGAATCCGGAAAGTTTTCTTCTACACATCCTCATCCCTAACCCTCATCTGATGATAATGCGATCCCAAATCAATCTTAGAAAACCAAGATGAACCAGAAGTTGGTCAAAGAGATCATCAATCCTTGGGAGTTGGTAACATTTCTTCATTGTTACCTTATTCAACTCCCGGTAATCAATGCACATATGATGGGATGCATCCTTCTTCTTCACAAAAAAGATCGACACTCCCCATGGCGAACTGCTTGGTCGAATGAATTCCTTATCTAATAGTTCTTGTAGCTGTGTAGACAACTCTTGCATCTCGAGAGGAGCCAACCGATACGATTCTTTGGCTATCGGGGCTGCACCTAGAATTAAATCAATCTTGAGCTCAATCTGCCTCTCTGGAGGCAACCTAGGAAATTCCTCTGGAAACACATCGAGATAATCCCGCACAATCGGCACATCATCCATAATCGCCTTACCCTTATCCCGAGTATCCATAACATAGGTGACAAACCCGAAACAACCCTGTTGAATATAACGCATGGCCCTTGCTGTTGAACACAAAGCGGCCCACTCTGAGCTCTCTCTACCTGGACTAGTAACTCTCCCCCACTTGGGGTTCAAATCCGAACCAACTGCTACTCACAATTGATCACCACCCCCATTTGGGCTCAACCCATCATTACTTACAATAACCTTGCTCCCACTCAAAGGGATAGGAACCAAACAATCGAATATTTCCCGCTAAACATATGAAGAATACAACCCCAATGAACCCTCGCTATCCGGACAGATCGATCATCTGTAATCTCGACATCTAAAGGACAGTCTATCTCCCCAGGAGCTCCAGCAAACCTCTTGCTAAGAGCAAGCGTTACAAAGGATCGGGTAGCCCCCAAATCAAACAATACCAAAGTAGAAATATCTTCCACGAGGAACGATCCTATAATAAAACACATAAATATAAGCAAACAATTAAATATATATATATATAAAGAGATAAGGAGAAGATATATACCCGTTACCACATCAGGTGCCTACGAGCCTCCTCGTCTGTCAACTGGAAAGCTCTGCTCTTCACCACAGGTGCATCCCCTTGCCCTGGCAGCCATCAGTGACCCGAATTCGTACATTGGGCCTTCTTGTGGCCCTTCTGATTCCAATGAAAGTAAATCAGATCATATCCTGGGGTGTTGGTGGTAGCAGTACAATCCCTCCTATAATAACCCGTCTGTCCGCACTTGAAGCAGCCTGAACCACCCATCCTGCACGGTCCCTCATGTGTCTTTACGCACTTCCCACAGTGGCTATGACACTATTGGCCTCTCGATCTTGAATACTAAACCATGGGCCTCTTTCCCTATCTCCCTGAAACCTGAGCCTGATCCTGCTTACTCTTCCTCTCCATCTCAATATCAATCTCCCTTTCTCGGGATCTCAATATCATATCCTCCAGTTTCTTATAACTAGATCGACTCACAAACTGCCAAATATCATTCCTTAATATCTCATGATACCTTGCCTTCTTCACCTCCTCATCCGCCACATACTGTGGAATGAAAAGCGCCCTGTCCCGAAACATCGTGGTGATCTTAACCACCGTCTTAGTAGTGTGGTGGAGATCCTGAAACTCTCGCACCAACTACCTGACCTCAATCACTAGTGCAAACTCAGCCTTGAACTTGGTCACAAAATCATCCCATGGCATGGAATCAACAACCTCATCACCAACGGATCCTCTGCTTACAGTAGTACGGGGCCATACTACCTTTGACATCTATCTTTACTTTCCTCAAGGATTGCCTTGAATCGGCCAAGTCACTTTATATCCATACAATTAACCCTCGCCTAGATCAGGCTCCCAGTACTAGATATCATCTGAGATTTTCCTATGGCAAACTCCACACTACTATATGCCTTCAGCTTCCAAAGGAACTCCTACTAACTTCCTCTAACCATCTCACAAATACAATTACATATCACCAAAACTAGATAATTCTTCGAATGAGAGGTATCACACTACAATGATTGGACTTGGACAATAGTTGTGCAATAGAGTTCAAACCTAACCTTCTAAAATTATCAAGTCTCAGTAATATGTAAATTAACATGTTCTCTTACTAGTTAGCTGAAACTAGTGAGAACTCCTAAAAGCACAAAGCAAGCAACATTCGAGCATCAAGTAATCAGAACCAAGCATAAATGAATCAGGCCATCCTATCACCGAATGACTAATACTAGCATAAAAGTATACAAGCTCATACAATATGCATATAAAAGCATCTCTCCTAGCATTCTGTCATGTAAATATTGAGTAGATCCTTAGCCCTAACTAGCATGTGATTCACAAATCAAATCATATCAGATAACATGTATAGGTATCATGGGAAAACTTACTTGAGCTCGGTCGATTGCATGCACCACACCCTTTCTTGTATTAGAAAACCCTTTTCTTTAAAAATATTTCTTTTTGAAAACTTTACCAAACCCTCAGTTTGAGTGTAGACACACCCGAGAGTATGTCTGAATCCCTCAAACCAAGGCTCTAATACCAACTGGTATCATCCCAAAAATAAGACCCAACAATTTCATTTTTAATTTCGATAAAAGAAGACTTCAAGAAATTTTCAAACAACCCAAATAGATCAAAGTATGTCACTACATCATTTCATATCAGGGTAAACCTCAAAATATGGAATAAGATGGTGTGTGCTCTGCAATCGTCCCAGGCTCTTCCTTTTCGATCCTGAAGTACCTGTAACATAAAATGAAAACTGTAAGCACAAAGCTTAGTGAGTTCCCTAAAATACCACATACCATACATAAATAAACACATACTTGGCCTCCTCCCCACATCGAGCCTCGCCCGGCATCAAGTCTCACTTAGCCTCGGGCCTCACTCGATATTGAGCCCCGCTCAGGTTAGACATATGTCATTCTTTAGGCTTCACCTAACATGGGGGCCCTGCTTGGTACACATATAAACATATAAACATGCTAACACATATGATAATCAAAAAGCCAATGTCATACAAAGTAGTCATCGGGCCTCGCTCAACATCGAGCCCTGCTCGGTATACATACCAGCACATAACACATGCAGGAATCATGCAGACTTTTAGCATCTAAACATAACAATCATGGGTCGGCATTGGTGCCTTCGACCCTCTAAACCCAATAAGGAAACTCACCTATGAATCTGAATCAATAATTGATGAGGACCTGAATCTGAATCTCAGCACTAACCGACACCTAACCATCGAAAGACCAATTATCAATCATAATCCAAAATACCCCCTTGGGTCAAATTGGATCAAATAGTCAAAAAGTCCTAAAAAGTCAACTTATCTAACCGCCACATCGTAGTATCCCTTAACCACGTGTGGCATAGAATACGACAAAATAGGTGCGACCAGCCCCGCCACCACGTCTTGATGGCCTTACCATATCGTGGTAACAAGGTTTTCAGCAACGTAATGCATACCGCCACTTTCTTCAATATAAAAGGGTCTCTAACTCAGATCTGGTTCATAATAGGGTCTAGATGAATAAAGCTTCCAACTTTATCCGTTAGAACCCTCCAATGTTCATACATCTTATCTTTAAGGTCAAAAATATCACATAACCTAAGCAATGTTCACTCAATCCTTAATATTACTTACTCAAAGGCTCCGTAAGGGTTTCTAACACCAAAAAACATCATAAAAATCTATGCTTTCTTAACATGCATGCCTAGAACTCATATTAGGTCAAATTAAGTTAAAAAGGGCCACGACTTCATGCATGGCCTCAAAACTCAAATCTAGATCAGATCTAAAGATCCAAATTCTTGAAATGGCTTAGGGATTCATAAAGTTGTAAGCTTTATGAGATTCAACCTTCGGAAACAACAAGGAATAGAGAAAAGTGGACAAAATCCATGGATCTATCAACTAACTCATCAAGGTGAAGACTTTATACCTTCTTGAGATGCTTGAGGAAGATAAACTTCTGGAAATTTTTGCTTTGGACTCCCAATATGATCTCAACCACCTTCTTCCTTCACAACACACAACACACACACTTAGAGGCAAAAACTCACACAAGGGATCTAGGGTTTTCAATGGACGGTTTAGAGATATGGAGGCTTACAATAGGGAGGCTATGAGAGATTAAGAATTTTGAATAAGGGCTCAGCCCATAAACTTTAGATTTTTTCTCCATCAGCTGCCTCCACCTCGTGGTGGGTCATCAAACCCCCACAGCCCAAATCCTTATCACCACATCGTGGTGAGACTTTACCATGTCGTATCCTTCAAAAGAGAATATCAAACACAACGAAAATAACTTCATACCTAGAATCGAGTGTTACAACTTCCGATTTTACTTCCTAGAGACTTAATTTCAGGTTTAATTCATCCATTGATCCTCATTTTGATCTTTGTGAAATTTTAAAATTTTTATAATTCTTTAGCTTAATCCATAAATTTGTGATGTTTTAAACGAAATGGGTTACTTATTTGTGTTCTAAAAGCCTATTAGAACACCCATATCTGGTTTTTGTGTTGAAAATTTGAAAATATAGCAGGTTACTATGTCTACTGTTCTTCGTGTTCTTGGAGCACGCCGCATAGATGAATATACGCCACATCCACTCACACACAGTATGTACCTTACGCGTCTTATCCATTTCAACATCTTATGCAGCATTTAACTATCTAGCTTATTCCTAATTGCCTTTTTATCTATTTTTCTATAGATATAGCAAGACATGGTCGACAATCTGCGAGTCAGTTGCCTCCTCACTGTCCTTCGCATCCTTTCTTAGAGTTCCCCGATGATCTTCCTGATCGGAGTTCTTTTGTTTCATGCCCGCCTGCTCTTCTATCTAAGAAGACCAGTAATCCTCAGGCTCTTTCCTGGATAGTGGCAGACAATTCTGGGTTGACGGATCAACTGGGGCCATTTCTTACCCATGTATTATGGGATAATAGCGGTCTTGAGGTTTTTTTTTTCTGCCATGGATTGCAATTGGTTGTTGGGGTTAGGGAGGTGGTCTACACAGAGCTCTTATGGGAGTTCTTTTTGACAGTCCGCTTTAATAAAGCATCAATGAGATGGGATGATAAATATGTATTTACTTTTTTCCTGGGAGGCGTATCCTGCTCCTATAGCCTGATCGAGATGGGGAGGCATCTAGGAATTTATACAGCTGAAGAGACTCTAAGTCCTTCTTTTTATGGCTATCTTGACAGTTGTTTTACTGATCCACCATAAGAGTACATCTACATGCAAGTATGGGGTCATGGTAGGGGGACTTGTGTTTCAACAACGGTCAAGGAGAGCACCTTATGATCTCTTACTTATCGATTGATCCACCAATTGGTCGCTTCTACCATTTTCACTGCTAGGAGTGTGATAAAGTTCCTTCACGCGACCTCTTCTATATGTCGTGCGTTACTCAGACTGAGGTTTGCTTTCATCTTCCCTTTTCCCTAGCTCTCTACTTATCAGGAATGGCTCTAGGTTCCCCACCTTCGAGCAGGATTTGCAGGGGCCATTGGGTTACTCGGTTGACCCTATATTATGAGGTTGAAACTAGAGGGATGGTTCTTGTTCTTATCCTATATATGGGTACTACCTCTTTAGGGAAGATGCAGGTGTTGGTTTGAGGAGTGGGGCAGTAGTGGAGGATTTTCGATCACAATATCATGGATCCAATCCAGCAGGTAGGGCCAAATGACATCCCTGAGCCTGCCTTCGTGAGGCGTTAGAAACCTAGGCAGTTGGTCATAATCAGCCAAAGTCAGCTCTACGCAACATCATGTAGTGTCTAGTTGTTGCATGGGAAGAGCATCGATGGATCATGGATTTGATTGTTGGGGTGATGCAAGATTTGGTGATGACCATCCACCTTTTCCTTAAGAGGGTCTTGCTGTTCCACCACCTCCTCAACGACAGGGTGCTAGTCACGATGGTACTAGCACTTCAGGCATACATCTCAGTGATACTGATGATGATAATGAGGAGTACACGGAGGATGGGTAGGGTAAGTATGAGAGTAGTGATGGGTTTTAGCCATAAGAACATTCTATGTGCTCATGCAAACCCTAATGCTTGGATCTAGGTTTCTCTATTGTACATGCAATGTATCCAAAACTTACAATCTTAGATCTAATATAAACTGAAATTAGGGTTTAGAGAATTACCTTTGATTGTTATGTAGCAATAACAATTTCAAATCCTCCTTGTAATGACTTTAGAAAGATTAGAGTCACAAGTGTCACTCCTTTAATGGCTCACAAACACCAAGAGCAAGATGATGAAGAATAAGGAGAGAGGAGGATGCAAAAAACGTCCAAAAACCCTAGCGGAACTCTTATCCACCTTTTTGGGGCTTAATGGTACTATATATATATGTAGGCTATTAGGGTTTTCAACTAGGAAACCCAAATTTGACTGCTTAAGCCCTAAGTAGCCCATGGACCCTTTTAGAATAACCCTTGGATGATTTCTAATGGGTTTCCCCATAGAATTCGTCCAACCTATTACTCCAAGGTAATCCATAGCCCAAATGCAATTATCTTATAATTACAGTTTCAGTCCCTTAAGTTTAATTAATCTTTTTTAGCCATAAAATTAATTATTAATTAATTCTTGACTAATATTAATTAAACAATATGTTTTCTCCTTTAATATATTATTCTCATAATATATTAATAAATCATAATTAATCTTCTCTCTCCATAATTCATCCTATCAAGTTGCTTTGGTGAAGGCAACCCAAAAGGACCATGCACCATCGGGTGAAGTAGATACCAAAATAGTTATGGACTTAGACACTAATCCAACAGTCTCCCACTTGGATAAGTCTAATAACGGTTAGGGTACACAGTTTTCCATGAATGACTTTGTAATGTTTGACTTTTATAAAACCCGCTTGCATGTGGAGTATTAGCCTTGTGACACATGAGAGATAGAGAGTGAGAGAGAGACATGTAAACACCTCTATAAATAGTGGGTACATAACACTTGTAGAGGTGTGCTTAAGAGATGTAAAAGTGAGTGTGTAAGTGTGTGTTATTTATGTAGTCTAGATCTAGATCCTTTTTGTAACACCATATACAATCAATACATCTTTTAAACACCCAAATCACCATGTTCAATTATGCAAGCTTTAATTCCGCATACCAAACCATGTTTTTATGTCACTACAATTGGTATCAGAGTGGGTCTTCAAGATCAAGGTGATTTTTGAAGAACGATTCTCGGTTTAGCAACTTTTGTCGCAATTTGAGGAATTTTGGTGAGTTTCTCTCTATGATCTCTCTTAGTTTCTTTGAGTCGTGCGTTATGGTTTTGATTCATGATCATTTGACTCGTTGGATCAAATTTTCTTTGAAAAACCCATTTTTTATGATCCAATAATTTTTTACTGATCAAGTCCCGATCCAATCTAAAATCCGTTTGTTGATTTGATTCTAAATTTTCAATTGTTCGTTTGAATCAAGATTTAAAACCAAAATTAATTGTGATCCATTTATTCTTGATTCAGCCCAAATTCCAATATATTACTGTTAATCACGAGCCCAAACAAAAATTTTGAGTACTGTTCATCAAACTCCAAGCCCAAACTTCTTGAATATGTTACTGTTATGAACCTTTTTGAGATCATAAACCAATCGATGCGATATCAATATGATTGAAGCCCAAAATCATTAAAAGTTTCGTTTGAGTAAACCTATTCGTCATCTGCTCTCACGAATGTATAGATGTTCATAAATCGATCTGATTCTAATGATCAAACTTTTCGTTTGTGTTTCTTCATTCCTAATATTTGATTTCTGCTTGTGATTCAAAACTTGTGAATCGATTTAATTAGTTTTGTTCTATTACAAATCGATTGTGATCAAGTTGAAGTTAAGAAATCGCCAATTTCTTCCTTGATTTGGATGAATATGGTCATGAATAGTTGAAGGAGATGAAGAACAGTTGAACAAACACTTTTTGATCTGAAATTGTATGTGAGAATCATCAATTTGGTGTTTGTTGATCTTTGATTCCGAAAAGTCAAACTGCAAAAAGGTCAATGTCGATGGCTTGGTGATTACCGGTTCGTGATTTGGATGTCGATTCATTTTAAAAGATGTTGAAATTGATTGATGCACAAATGAAGTTAAGAAATCAATGTCGATTATCGATTTTGAGTTCTTGAACAAAAAGCAAATACATGTGATTTGGAGCAGTTGGAGTTTGAATGAAGGGAACTTGATTGGTGAATTGATTTTTGATTTCATATGATTTGGAGTTGATTTCTTGCCTATATGTTGTATGTGTGTTCATTCGCATCTACAGGAATGGGAAAATTTGGGTTTGATTGACTAATGAAGGTTTTGGGTTGGTGAATGAAATGCGAATGAAGAAAATTTTGTGGTTGATGGTCAAGATTCGCATTTGGTTAACTGGTTTGAAGGCTAAGAATATTCGCATACAAAGTATTGATTTGGTTCATTCTGTGAGTTCGCAGGAATTTGATTTGTGCAAGTACGCATCTATGTCTCAAAAGTAGTTTGCAAATAAGGTCAATAATGTTCGCATTTGATGATTGGGTTGGTATAAAAGTGTTTCATTCGCATCTAAGATTGATGATTGAGTTCGCATATGTGAAAGTTGTTCATTCCCATCTGTTTTGCAAGTGATTTGCGAAGATTACGATGCGAAGAATTTGACTAAATGTGAATATGCAAAGCGTTCCTGTTATAACTCGTTCAATAAAGAAGAAAACAAATATTTTCGAATTGAGTCCCTAATCTTTTCACGAAATGACACAATTGGTCCAACTTCGCAAATGGGGTTATAAAATGACAAAAATGCAGAATTTCCATTTCGCATCCCTATGGTGTTCGCAAGATGATAAATTTTACCCAGTTTCGCATTTGGGGTAAATTTTTTTGAGAAATGGGAATATTTTTGAATCTGGTCCCTGCAGTTTGTGCGAATTTATACATTCTACCCAGTTTTGCAAATGGGGATGTGTTTCGCATTTTGGCTGTTTTTGGTGCAATGGGTCACTGCAGAATTTTGAAATTGACAATTTCTACCCATTTTTTGAGAAATTTTGTCAAAGTCAATCCGTGAATGACAATAAAAATTGAATATTTTTTGATTTTCCGGATTAAAGCTCAAATTTTATGCCACATGTTAAGGGGGAGTTTTCACATGAAAAATTCCAAATAGAGCACGTTCTTTTTCCTTAGAGTTTTATAATCAAATTTCGATTATAAAAAGGGGGAGAAGTTTTATATGGAAATTCGAACTTGAATTTTTCATATTACGCGGATTTGGAGACCGAAGTGGTCTTGAAGTTTTAAAGCCTACGAGATGATGCAATTGGAAGTGCGGAAGTGATGTATTCGAAATGGGTTTGGAATTATTGAAGATTTTTGGGGTGTGTTTTTATGCGCAACATTAGGGTGATTATTTGGAGTTTGGAATACGCTTGATCATTCATTGCTGCTTGGATTGTATTGTCTCACATCCTAGAACCCAAATTGAAGAATCATGGAAGAATTAAAGATTGAAGTTCGTGTCGACATGTGTCACCTTTGAGGCTCGAACCGCGTAGTGCTTGATTTTGGAAGATTTGAAGTTGGTCATTCATTCCTAACTTTGAGGGGGAGAATGTTAGGGTACAAATTTTTCCATGAATGACTTTGTAATGTTTGACTTTTATAAAACCCACTTGCATGTGGAGTATTCGCCTTGTGACACATGAGAGATAGAGAGGAAGAGAGAGACATGTAAACACCTCTATAAATAGTGGGTTCATACCACTTGTAGAGGTGTGCTTAAGAGATGTAAAAGTGAGTGTGTAAGTGTGTGTTATTTATGTAGTCTAGATCTAGATCCTTTTGTAACACCATATAAAATCAATACATATTTTAAACACCCAAATCACCATGTTCAATTGTGCAAGCTTTAATTCCGCATGCCAAACCATGTTTTTATGTCACTACAATAACTATTCTGCGTATGACTTCAGATCCTGATCTGCAATCGTAGCTTTCAAAAGCCACTATCAACTCTGATGTTATCAGATACACGTCCTTTGGATAAGGGATCATATATTCCTCCATTCTAGATATCGTATAGATGTGAGACATGGATTGAAATCATTCTCTCAGTCTATATGTTGTTTCCCAATTTACAATTTATAATGACTGGCAACAGACTACAATTGAACACATCAAATTAGTCCCGACTTGGCCAAGCACTTACGGTGTCATAACTAAATCATCGAGGGGCCCAAAGGTATCGCTTTCATCCTATTTTGGATAAAAGGAACGAATAAACTTTGATTCAATGCTTGCTTGTACTCACTCACCGAATCACACACAATAATATGTTTTATGACACCAAGTTACTGGTGCATTTACATATTATTAATGTGTAACCGACTCACAAGATACAACTTACACATGTCGGTTTCAAGAATATAAGATATTATCATCTCACCTATCACTCGTGATAAAATCCATGAAGTGATCCAACTGAGCGTGGGTTTAATCTAATGCTCAAATCATATTCATAAGCACACATGAACATTGCAGCAAACATTTGCTTATGCCTAACACACTTTAGACAATCCACATACCAATTCACGACAGTCTTCATTCATACCTACTTCCAACATATGAACGACTGTGGTCCGTTCGAAGAATTTGATTGTTCTGAATCAATTTAATTATTCAAGAAGTCAAAACATGGAAAGTGAAACACAATAATACTAATCCCGTATGGCGCCAAACTCTGGCTATAAATAAAACATTTTATTTAATCACCATATTGATTACTCATTATTTGTTGTTTCGGGTAATCAAATTCTAACTTGAATTATAACAACAATTGTCCCATGCTCTTAGCATGCACACAATGTTTACCTACGGTCCTTACTTTGTGAAATAGATCAAATGAACACATTTCCAATCATACTCATTTCACAACTCCCAATCCTTATCATAAGTATAAGAATATCAAATTCTTGCCAC